ACGAGGACCGATATCAATTATTACGATTGTCACAATTTTACTCCCCCTAACTGCATGATTCAATAATTTTAATAATTTTTTTTTGTTTTTTTTTTAATTTTGTAAATAGTAAGAGCAAAAGAACTTAAGTGCAATGCAATCCTCATTAGGCGACAGAAATGACCCCAGTAACGAACTTTGGGCCGGTGACTCCCAAATCAGACGACCTTAGGGCACCAGGTTAGAAACCCCTCAGGCTTAATTGTTCGAGTCAAGTAGGCCCTGAAGACAGTCATAAGTTCAACGAATAATCAAAATAAAACTTGGGAAAAACAATATTTATTAGGTTACACTTGTCCCAGATCAAGTCACATGTACATACAACCCCAATCACAGAAGAACACCATCCCAAATCTCACCCATGCGGTCAAGACTCGCTTATAGGACTACAGTGTGTGCTGTGTGAAAATGAATGTCGAGTCATATACCCAGAACTCCACAAACAAAAATGAACAATGATGGAACCTCAGACTCGTACATATGATGAAAAATGGAGTTTGATCTTTAATACACATGCCATATTCGTTACATAAAAGGCACAGAAAAAATTTCTTAAAATTTTTATTATTATTATTATTATTATTATTATTATTATTATTATTATTATTTTGTTTAAACACACAAAAGACTACTAAACTACAAACTAACAGTCAAAAATGCATCACACACACATAGATCACACGCAAGATATGAAGTGACTAGGTGCATATGTGATAAATGCATGAATCCATGATCAGATAGGTGAGCAAACACCAACAGCCGTCCGAAGCGACTCAAACCTCAATCCATCTAGTGGTTTCGTAAGTAGATCTGTCAATTGATTATCAGTAGAGACATGGTCGAGAGAGACTACATGTGATTCAACAAGCTCACGAATAAAATGATGTCGTATGTCAATATGTTTTGTTCGAGAGTGTTGAATGGGATTCTTAGAAATATTTATAGCACTTGTATTATCACAGAAAACAGTCATGGTCCCTTGACTAATCCCATAATCACTCAGCATATGCTTCATCTAGAGAAGCTGAGTGCAGCAACTCCCTGCAGCTATGTATTCGGCCTCTGCCGTGGATAGAGATATAGAATTCTGTTTCTTACTCAACCAGGCTACGAGATTGCTACCCATGTAAAAACAACCCCCTGTCGTGCTTTTCCTATCATCTGCGTTCCCGGCCCAATCGGCGTCGGAATAACCAACCAAGTCAAGATTAGAATTCCTAGAGTAGAATATTCCTAGATCAACTGTTCCACTCACATATCTAATGATGCGTCTAGCAGAGCTTATGTGTGATTCTTTTGGATCTGGCTGAAATCGAGCATACACTCCAACACTAAAAGCAATGTCAGGTCTAGTAGCTATGAGATAAAGAAGACTACCTATCATGCTTCTATATAGGGAAGGA